GGCTGTGACTGGTGAAGGGACATCTAGTGCAGCACCAGGGGAGGTGGGCTCTGGGTATCTGAGATCTGATTGTGGTTCTTTATAGTTTAGATTGAAGGAAAAACAGTCATGGAGAAAGGCCTTCAGAGCAGGACTCAAGGCTGCCTCTATGAGTGTGGACTATCAGAGTCAGGGCAGTACTTGATCCTGTTTGAACTTGGCAAGCATTCTCTGGATGACTCATGCTGAGTAATAAGTAAGAGTGCAAGGAGATGACTGTGGGGGCTGGGACTGTAGGAGTGCAGGTGTGAGAGAGGTGTGGAAGACAAAGTGATGTGCATTCGGAGAGGGAATGTGACTTCATGGCCAGAGCACCCTGACATTGACATAAGAGTGAATGAAGGGAGAGTTCATTTCTGGTAGAGTCTGCATGATAAAATAATGGTAATTTTGGGGTAATTGCCTGAAAAAGGGGGGGGCTGCTTTTGTGATGCCTGCCAGTATAGGGCTTACATGACATTTATGAGCCCACCTGCCTTTTGTTGTTGTGGGTGACACACTGGTTCTTAGGAATGAGAGAGTATACATCTGTGTTACCCAGGCTTGGAAATCTCCACAGGCATGGGTAAGGGAGAAGGGTAAGAGAGAAATGGATTATGGAGGTGTTATTCTATAATTTCGGAAAATAAGGTAATTAGGAAACAACCCGTCCTCGCCAGGATGAATTTGCATTACCTTTGAAGTTGTGTCTCTGGGAATGAAGCTGTGGGAGAGAAGTGTTGTTCAAAGAACTATGTGCAGCAGGTAGTACAAAGCAATGACCTCAGCACCCTAGATTGTGGTTTAAGGGTGAAGTGTGATGCCATATTTTTGGTATGTTTGAGGAACAATCTGCGGGACTACAAAGTTAATGTCTGACAAGACCAATATCAATTCACTCACACTCTCTTTATGGCCAACTTATCTTCCTACCCTCTGTTTTTGACACCCACTCTACTGTCAAGAGGAAGTGTGGCGTACATATGAATCCCAGAGCTCACTTATGTTCTATCTGCTCCACCACCTTTATTGTGGGAAGACAAAATATCAGAAGAAATATAGGATGATAGTGACTTTTAAGCAATGAAGGCCTGGTATCTTTGGTGTGTCGAGTGGAGAGAGCAGATTGATGTGGAGGTTGGGGATATGAGAGAGTTTGAACCTTAGGAGTGAATCTGATCCTGGGCCATTCTGTCCCCATTATGACAGTATATGAACTTTGAGGATGTGGCCATTGCCTTCTCTCAGGAGGAATGGGGGCTACTTGATGAGCCTCAGAGACTTCTCTACTGTGATGTGATGCTGGAAGTTTTTACACTTGTACCATCTGTTGGTAGGATCTTCACATTATCCCAATGTCCTGAGATGATGTCCTCTCTTCCTTTATTCATCTAATGTAGCCTTTTCTCTTCTACAGCCTGACCATGGGCTCTGCTGATTTCCCCAATGGCATGTCAAATGTGCTGTGGCTGCCATGGGCAAGGTCTGTGGAGAGCCCTGAGTGAAGGACTCCACAAACATCCCTAACACTCATTGCCTCAGACAGTGCAGGATGTATCTGGGAGTGAGGAGTCTTATACACAGCTTAATGGGTTTCACCTGATGTTCCTCTCCCTGGGAGGGTGACTGTGTCCAGATCCATGGCTTCCATTCTACTTCCTTCCTCTAACCAAAGGTCCTTGGTGACTGCCTTTGCCAAGTTACGGTCTTTACTTACATGACCCTTGAACTGTTCTTACAAGATCACACTTCAGTTGTTATTTGTAATATTATCTTCCGTAAATACGATTGGAAACCGAATTACTTTGCCCATCTCTGTCATATTTCGTTAATACTTGGAATATTTCTGTTGTAAGTATTTGTAGAGAGGAATGAGCAGGACGAACCCTGATTTTTTTTTTTTTTTACAGGGCGAACATGCACAATGGTCTCAGAAGAGGCCTGACCCTATTGACTTGCAACTGTGGCCTAGATATGATATAAGGGTGTGTTTAGATGATACCAAGCACCTGCTCATTTCCAACAGTGTTTAGGTGCACATGTGTGAGAGACTTCTGTTTCATTGCAAATCCTCACCAGAAACAATAGCATATTTCTACCTTTTCTTTGATATACTGAACACTGTACTAACTTGTCATTTTACCTGTGACTTCCTGGCCTTTGACTACGTTCAACTGTATGGCCTTTTTGCATCACCTGTTCCTCTGCATTGCTCCATCTTCAGTATTCTCTAACATCGACCTGTACATGTGTTATAAGATGCACATACAAGCTTAAATAGTTCTTGAACACCAGCTACTAATTTATTGAATACTAGAGGCCCAGTGTCTGAATTTGTTCATGGGTAGGGTCCCTAGGCTTGGCTGATGATCAGGGCTGATCAGATTCCCTGCCTCCCCACCTCCTCCATCCCTCACCACATGTGCACCACCACCACCGCATGGTTCCCCCTGCCTCTCCACCTTCTCCTTCCCTCACTCCCTCAGCACCCTTCTGCTGCCATTGGTCACCCACTATGTTCAGCACTGCCCCCTGGTGGTCAGCACACATCATAGCAAGCAATCGTTATCCTGGTCGAACTCCCGAGGGACACTTTGCATATTACCCTTTTATATATGTAGATTACTTGGAATGAGACATAACCATATTTCAGCACAGCTTTCCATGTCACCAGCAGACAGACCATGCTGAACACTCTTAGCAGAAGAATGAACTGACTATCCTGCTTCTCTGCTATGTGCTGCTTATCGTGTGTGTTTGAGGTCTGAGGTCTTCCTTGTTTTGTGATCTTCAGTAGCCCAGACCTTCATGGCAGTATCTTTTAATCCTTCCTACAGATCTTTTCTTGTCAGTCAATGCATGGAACCAATGTGTTATGTGCAACCCACTTTTGTAAAGGTCCTTCTACTTGTCACCACAGTCCGCATTCAGTTCTTCACCGTTTTTCTACTTTCACGTTGTTGGCATAAAAAGGATGATGAGGAGACCAATTCTGAGCAGAGTGTATATGTACCAGAAGAGTCACAGATCAGGGCTTTTAAGACAGCCCCAGCAACCCAGAAGACCCATCTTTTTCTCAGTCTTAAAAGATATTTTACCCCTGACTGAGTTACAAGCATCATACTTTCACCAGAAAGCCTTCATCCATGACACATGTGTGAGAGACTTCTGTTTCATTGCAAATCCTCACCAGAAAAATAGAGATGCCAGCTGACAGAAGACCTGGAAAGAATGTATGCACAGGGCCTCATTTGTGTCCCAGTGCAGGTTTTACTTAATAAGAATAGTTAACACTGTAGAAAAGCCATATAGGTGTATTGATTGTGGAAAGTCCGTCACTCTGAAGTCCAGACTCATTCAACAGCACAAAGTCCACACTGGAGAAAAGCGCAATGAGTGTCACGATGCAGGAAGTCCTTCACTCAAAACTTTACCGTCACTCAACACCAGAGTTCACACTGGTGAAAAACCTTATGAGAGTAGTGAATGTGGGAAATCTTTTACCTGCATTAATCACCTCCTTATCCATAAGAGAGTTCACACTGGAGAAAATCTATATGACTATAGTGACTGTGGAAATTCCTTAGGCAACGCAGTAACTTCACTCAATACCAGGGAGTTCACAGTGCTGCAAAACCTTATGAGAGTAGTGAATGTGGGAAATCTTTTACCTGCATTAATCACCTCCTTATCCATAAGAGAGTTCACACTGGAGAAAAGCTATATGCAAGTACTGACTGTGGGAAGTTTGTAATCTTTATTAATATACCTGGTATAAATATTCTCAATGTTGTGGAGTTCAAATGGCCAAAATGATTGCTCTGAACATGGACTTGATAAGATATTTCAGTAGCACATCATATTTTATTTCCAATATGCTGATACATTATGTTCAAATGTGTTCAAAAATTTTCACAATAAAACAGTAAACT